GCCGGGCCTGGTGGCGCATGCCTGTAGTCCCAGCTACTCGGGAGGCTGAGGCAGGAGGATCGCTTGAGCCCAGGAGTTTGAGGTTGCTGTGAGCCAGGCTGACGCCACGGCACTCACTCTAGCCTGGGCAACAAAGCAAGACTCTGTCTCAAAAAAAAAAAAAGCATATATAAAATGTTCTGGAGGAACTATCTAGACTTTAAAGAGTTGTTGCAATATTATTGCTTCATAAAAGGTCATTAAATTTGATCTTCCCTAGGCTTTATTTGGTGGCAATCAGTTCTCTCTAGTGGACTTTGTTACACTTGTATAAGTATCATTTTCAAGGTAATATAATAGAAGGAAACAGCATTCATTATTTTATGAATAATTAGTTCTTTATTGAGAATCAGAAATGTTCTAAATTTACTAAACTAAGAGGTAGTTGTGGCCCCTCCCCAATAAACTTTACAGTCTTCAACAACTTGTGCATTTTAATAAATTCTTAATTACATTACAAAAGAAAGTCACCGAGAAAACTTGTAAAATCTGCTATGAAACATCTATAAAAGGCTGTGGAGTAGTTCATATGCTAAAGTATGAAAAAATGGTCTGTGAGCAATACAGTATAATATCTGCTTCTTAGTTGGTATAACATAAAGTCTATAACAAACCCAAACTTCTATTTTAGGTAGAGTATTGTGAAATTTGGTGCTGTTTAACCAGTCTGGCCATCATTATTTTCTCCCCTTTTCCCATCTAAAGTCATGAGGAAAATATAAGTATCTGTCATAAAATAAACATCAACTGTATTGTTATCATATAGAATAACAACCAAACTGCTCAATAGGCAACTTATCTTGTTGTGGTAAGACAATGTGCTATGCTTATTTTTTCTGGATTTCGTAGGAAAATATATTTCCAGCCCAGTACCAGATATTTTTAGTTTCTAAACATAGTGCTAACTCATACCATTTTTAGAAACAGATCATAAATGCAAATTTGCTTCTGGAACAAAACACAACATTGATTTCTTAGAAAGACTTTCAAAAATGTTGAGAAGAGGCTTTTATCATTTCTGATACATCCAATAGTTCAAGTCTGAATGTGATAAATTAAGCACCAAAATCAACACTGACATTTACCTGCAGGGACTTAACATTTTTCTAAAATTTTCCCCACTATTTAGATTTATTCATGTTAACATTTACCAAAATTTGAATAGGTACATGAGAAAAAGCTATGTTATAATACTTTATGAAAATTTCCTTAAATATTAGATGGCCATTCTAGCTAACCATTGTTTCAGTTTTCAGGTCACTTCTGTTTGTATCTGAGGCAACAGATTTGGTCTCTAATAAGGTGTATTATACTACCTTCAAAATATTTATCAACCTGAGTGTTAACTATCCTCCCTCCACTGGGACAAGCACCAAAAATGGTACCAAAAATGTGACAGATCCTACCACTGTTCCTAACAGTCACAGAATCACTGATAAGCAGGGATCTTCATTTTACAGACAAAGAAACTGAATGTGCGCTGGATTAGAACCCAGGGCTCCTGCGTTCTAATTATCATTTGAAACTTTTATTATGTTGGTTTCTCTCTAAAAGGAATTATACCCAAACTTGGAGCTCAAGGAACATAGCCACCAGTCTCAGAGGGTGGGGAGCAGCAGGAAGGGTGTTAGGCAGGGAGGTTTGGGGACCTGGTCTGGCCACAGTCAGAATGCTATGGTTCTGTTTTGTTTAGTCTTTAAATGATTTTATGTTTGACTCTGTTACAAATGTCTGATTTTAAAACATTATTTCAATAAGAAATTTACATTCAGGCTCATGAACCAATTCAGATTTTAGTTCATGTCCCTTCAAAAACTGCTATCCTAAAGGAAAAGTTAGAGCTCAGAATGCCCAGTTGAAAAAATTGTTTGGGGGATGATGGCAAATCAAGTTTAGTTTTATATGCTTTCATTTGTAATATGCCAAAATCATTTTCTGCAATATTATATTAATATTAACACATACTTTCAAGTCTACAATAAAGTACTGCTTATTTAAATAAAAATGATCGAGATACTCAGGTTATTATCAGATTTTATAAGTGGTTTAAAAAAAGACTGCAAATTCTGTTTATATTAACATGTATGATTTTGTACACGTAGAATAAGCTTGTCACGAAAACGCCCCCTAAATGCCCATATTTTCACTCAGTCCTTTATGGTTCTCAAGCAGTCACATGTACAAGCCCAGTAGGGTTTTATTTCTGGATCCTTTGAACTTTCCATTTAAAGTAAGAACCAAGACAATTCACTTTCCGTGAGTGATACACAGGCTTAGAAATCTGCCTGCCAGAGTTGCTATTGTTTTTTCTGTTTAATGAGCACCCCCCCCCCCCTTAATTCTTACATGTAATGTTTTAAGATAGGGTAACTCTCATAGCGGAGAACTTGAAAACTATTAATACTTCAAATTGAGTACTAATGGCAAAAATTTTGTTTTCCGATTTAAAAAAAAAGGTAGTTTATAGTGCTGTTAATAGGTAACATAATACCTTTACCACCAACCTTAGGATAAATTCAAGGTCTAGTAAAAGCAATGTATGTGGAACTTCTTGATTACGTACATGAAAACACTCTTCTGTCAGTGTTACCAATGAGCTGAAGATTGCCAAAGCATAAGACCTAGTTTCATAAATGACTCAAAGCCCTGGACAGTTTCTGGTAGGGACTAGGAGTAACAGGTTTCTGGAACCCCTTATTCATTCATTCATCTAGTACCTACCATTTTCTAGACTCTGAGGGTATAAAAATGAAATTTTCAAACAAATTAATAGACTTGGCCTTAAAGGGCTCATGCTCTACGAGAGAAGGCACATATGGTAGTAGAAGATCACAGCACGGGGTTGTAAATCCAATAACAGAGATAACCAGTTTACTCTGGGGACAAAGAGGAAGGGCCCCTAACCCCAGAATGCCCGGGAGGAGTGGAATGGAATTGAATGGGACGATGGTCAGCCAAGGCCTCCTAGTGGAGTTGATTCCAGCACTGAGTTTTAACAGGCGTGAAAAAGGAAATGTAGTGAGTCAGGCTGGCATTCCAGATACAGGGGACACAAACAGCATGCTATTTTTTGATGAACTAGTAATACAAGCAGTTGCCAATTTTTGTTTCCAACAGCTCCCCTTCCCCAGGGCTGTGTGGAGGACGGACTTGAAGAGGAGAAGGCTGGGAGCGAGAGGCCGAGAAAGCCGTTGCAGCGGCGCAGGAGAGACATGAGCTGCACCTGTGGGGGTCGTCAGCATGACAGAGGACTGTGGCACCCAGGTGCAGACAGGCAGGGTCAGGGCTCTGGAGGGAGAGAGAGAGACTTACCTGATTGACCTGTTGCTTTGGGGCTCTGCAGACACATCCCATCAGGCCTGTATTTTCTTGGGCCACTGAGACATGGTTGCCTATTTTCTCTCATTAGAACATTTACACAACTATTCCCAGTCCTATGATTATTTCTCCCTTCGTGGAGAAATAATCATATATGACACTTACTATCTCTCCACATGTAGCACTCATGGCAAGGTCCTGTACATAGTAGGTGATCAATAAATGTTCATCTTTATTGCTTATATTCATCTGGCTCTTTGTATACAAAATTAGCTCATTTTTTTCTTGCAGGAACTTCTTTTTTGATTCTCAGGTTTCACTTCTTAAAAATTCTAAGGCTACTTCAAGATTAATTTAAGTGTAAATAAGCAGTACTTGCTAGGTAGGTGTCTCCTGTTCATCATCAAGACTGAATCATTCCTTTCATTATCACCACATATAATGTATTGCAGGATTTGGAAATATCCATTTCTCTTCTTCAGGAAGACCATGGAGTTTGTCCAGCCGAGGTCCCACTAGAGGGAGTTAGGGCTGCAGTAACCTGGAGTGAGTAATCCCTGATTCCATGAGGTGACGGGGGTTGAGTTTCACATTTTACTTTATTTGAAAAATATGTGCAAAAGAGTCACTAAAAATAAGAACAAACTAGGCTTTGTTGCCACTGAGCGGCTTGGCAAATTTCTGTATAGAGGAATCATTGGGCATGAAAGATTTGATACTTGGATAGAATCCAATTGCCCTTGGACTGGAAGTCGAATATCCTTTTTAAGAGCACTGAAATTCTGGGATTTCTCTGGAATAACCACCTTTGTGAGGTGTGGATCATGTCCAGGAACTGTAACCTGAGAAGAAACAAGAAACAATTGTATGAGTGATTTCAGATGTTTCATGGTGCCAACTCTGAAAACACTGATATCCACCACTAAAACGCAGCCTTTGTGCAAAGCTTGTCACAATCTGCCAGGCCTCCTGGGCTAGTACCAGATTTGGTCCTGACCACCGGGTTACCCAATGCCTGTTGATAGAGACCATTGTTGTTAATGTTGTTGCCAAGAATTACAACATGAAATAAAGACAGAGACAGGTACCTTATCTGAGGATAGAAGTCAGGAGAAAGAGGCAGCAGAAGGATTCTGCCACCAACATTTTCATGGAGTGCAAAGGTAAAGCATTAGCTGTTTCCCTTTGTCCCATGTCTGTACTTAACATCTTCATTGGATATTCCAAGATTATTTATAAGTAGAATTATTTCCTCAATTTACTCCATTTTCTTTGCTGATTTAAGTGTACAAGTCTATTGTTTCCTTAAAAAGCCCTGATTTTACCAGTTTTGTTCACATGAGTCGGAATCTTCAGCTAGATTTGGTTTTTTGGTGGTAGAAACAATCAGGAAAAATAAGACGAATGCTAAACTTACTATAGGCGATGTCCACTGAGCAATGCTTTCATTGTGTATGGTGGGGAGGGCGAAGGATGGGGGAATGACATTGACATAACCATTCACCGGCCCGTGTTTTAGCCGTTCATTTCAGCTTCCACAGTCTTACCTTCGAATCTCGTCCCAGAACTAACACCTATGGTCAACACACACTGTGGTAGTCTAAGTAATGGGAAATGAACAATTCATAACTTTATTCTATAAAGGTGTGGCTTATGTATGGGGCTGCATAAAAATAATTTAGATTCAGTAGATGGAAAACTCTTTTTTCCCCATAGAATGGAAATATCACAATAAATAGAAGAAAAATAAAGGGCTTTGTAGGCAAAGATTCACAGTGAGTTGAGGTGTTTCAAGCTCTATCCATCTTCTCAGTAAGAGTGGAAGTTCCCAAGAAGAGGATTAGCAATTGATGAGCCCTCCTGCCAGGCACTAAGGGGATAAGCCATAGAGCTTATGTCCTAAAGATGAAATAATGAAATACCAAGTTATTTTTTACTACAGAAGAGATGACTACCTTCTCCAAAGGAGTAGCTCTGTACAGAATGACTACTGTGGCTGGCATCAGATTCACTAAGTAAAGTAGAAGAATATTGAATTTCTCAGAGAAAGTCTCAGCAAAGAGAAAGAGGCCTAATCTGGCCAATTGAATCAGTATGCATTTAGTTCATTCACATAAACCTACTCAGGCTCAAATTAGTACATATCCTCTTCTCCTATGATAAAATGACTCAAATATGCATCAAAATAGAATTAAAAACTGAAATTTTATTTGCATTGATTGAAAACAGGGCGCAAAACATGTCTATCACTTGCTTAATACAGTGATAAAATTTGTGAATCAAATTTCACTTATAATGAATTCCAAGGAACTTGTCCTAATTCATTTTTTTTTTTATTTTTGAGACAGAGTCTCACTCTGTTGCCCTGGCTAGAGTGAGTGCCATGGCATTAGCCTAGCTCACAGCAACCTCAAACTCCTGGGCTCAAGTGATCCTCCTGCCCCAGCCTCCTGAGTAGCTGGGACTACAGGCATGTGCCACCACGCCCGGGTAATTTTTTTATATATTTTTAGTTGTCCAGATAATTTCTTTCTATTTTTTTTTTTAGCAGAGACGGGGTCTCACTCTTGCTCAGGCTGGTCTCGAACTCCTGAGCTCAAACAATCCGCCCACCTCAGCCTTCCAGAGTGCTAGGATTACAGGCGTAAGCCACGGCGCCCGGCCCCTAATCCATTTTTTATAGTAGAAATTATGTTTCTTGGAATGGGTGTTAAACGGTATTCCATGAAGCTGGGAAGTACTTTTCCTACATTGCTTAAGTATTCTCCTTATTAATAAAGTTGCATTTTTGAATCATAAAGATATCACAAGAAATAGGATTCGGCTATTTAAAAAAAATAATTGCCAGCTGGGAAAAAAACACGAATTTTTCTGGTTTGCTCCTATCATTTCCACCTTCCCCAAGCCCCTGTCAATTGCAATTCTGACACTATCCTTTCCTTCTGTCCTGATGTATCTATTTTTGGGCCTTCTAGACTTATTTCAGATTCCTTGTGGGTAAGTATTGTGAGTTCTATAGTATTTTAATAACAATAACTAGTGTTACATACTTACATTTATTATATAGGATCCAGGCAAGAGAAGGAGATAATACTCTCCGAATTTGTTGGTTCTATAGGGGCAGATATGTTTTCTGTCTTGGACTTCAACAATTACATTGGGCAATGGATTTCCATTCTGATCAAAAACTTGACCCTTTACACCTGTAAGATGAAAAGAAAATTAAATATAAATACCACAGTTTATGGTATATGAAAAAGATTCTTGTATATATTTCAGAAAAATATGCCCAATATTTATTAGCTATTTTGAGTTAATAAAGTGTTAGAGAAGGGAAGGTAAACTTATTTTTGATGTAACTTAAAATACAGTCAAGCTACTAATCTGTTTTACAGCTGAAATTTGTTTGTTGTTGAATATTTCATAAATAGCATATATTATCAAAGTGAGAGAACACAGATGACAATCTAAGATCCACTCCTGTCATTTCTGAGTTGTTTACGCAGTCACCAAACTTTACTGCAACATTACCATTGGGTAGATTCTGTAAGATCCTAAATGAAAACAGCGTCCATGTGTTAATTGACAACAGGATACTTACCTATGCAAGGGACTCAACAGTTTTGTCTTGTGGTGAAACTACATGGGAAGCTAAATTGTAATCACAAGGTTGCTTGGAAGCCTGGAGTCAGCTGACCAATAACGGCAGCCAGTAATTACTGAGCACTCAGTATGTTCCAGGCTCTATGCTAAGTGCTTGATGTGCATTTTCTCATTCAATCCTCAGATCAACTCTATGTTATTGATTACTACCATGCTTTTACAGATGAGAAAACTAAGGCTTTGCATTACTAAAATAGCCTTCTCAAGCTCACACAGCCACCGAAGGGGCACTGCCTGGCTGTGAACCCATAATAGTCTCCACAGCCCACGTGGAACCCGTCATACTGTACCCCACTACCTTGAAACTTCAGCTGTACAATTTTTAAAGGCCATTTATATTTTAAGACTCTTCTTATTTTAAATGCTACATTTCACATTCTAGTTTGTTTAGTCCAGTGACAAATCATGTTAGTTTAAGGTAAAGCCACCTAAGCCCAATGACATAAATGAGAAAGAAGAGTCTACAATGCTAAGATGACTTTGAACTATCCTTAAACAATTATACTCAATAATTACTTATAAGGACATAAAAATATGAGGCACATATTAGTTTCCCCCAGAAAAAGTTAAAATAAAAAATAAAATTTTGATATTTAGCAATATAATCTTTATCTTGAACATTAAGCAAATTTCTACCTGACTTGAGTTGCCTTTTACTTTCTTTCCTAATTCCTGACTCTTCATTTTTTTTTTTTCTCCAGAAAATGATTTTTTTTTTTTGAGACAGAGTCTTGCTCTGTCGCCCTGGGTAGAGTGCCGTGTCATCATCACACCTCGCTGCAGCCTCCAACTCCTGGGCTCAAGTGATCCTCCTGCCTCGGCCTCCCAATTAGCTGGGACTACAGATACTGCCACCACTCCTGGCTAATTTTTTCTATTTTTGGTAAAGACGGGGTCTCACCCTTGCTCAGGCTGTTCTTGAACTCTTAAGCTCAAGGAGCTTCCCAGAGTGCTAGGATTACAGGCATGAGCCACCAAGCCTGGCCGAGAAAAGGAATTATTAAATGCCGTATTTCCTTTTCACTTTCTCAATGTAACTATGTAAACCTCTGTTTTCATATAATTTGTTCCTTCGTCTTTGGCTTCTGTCTCTTTTTTTAAAAAAAGTTCCATTCCTACTGTTTGGTATGTATCCTTTTGATCTTTAGGTAGTATCTAACCATAAACTATTAGTAATAATTTGCTAACCTGATTGTGCATTTATTCATTGGGTTTCAGTGGCATTATTTTTGAAGAGCTATTTACATTGTGCCCTTCTTAGGAGGTCCATTGATATATTAGACAAACATAGCATATACCAATCATCACAGCTCAGTGAGACCAGTTAGGTCTCAGTTTGAATCAAAGCTCCCAAGTCACTAAACATTCCCAAGCCTCAATCTCATCACCTATAAAATGGGGATAATATGTGCCACCATCCAGGATGGCTGGAAGATTAAATGCAAGTAACACAAAACAGAAGGATCAACAAATATTCATCCTTTTCTTTCCTCTTATTTGGATTAAAAAAACTATGTGAGGGAAAAGAGAGATTGGTTATATAAGTTTGGAGTTGAGACAGAGATATTAGATGAGTTTCTGCAATCTCAATTCAATCTTGTTCCACAGGAGCAGGGATACGTGAAGGAAGAAGCATGTATTTTCCTTCTCCAAGGCTCTGAGCTTGCTTACAGTTTTCCCACCACTTAGAAAATCCACACATTTGAGCAAGATAGCTTGTGGTGGCTGGTGGTATGTCTGTTGGCATCTTTTGTCTTTTTCATCGGCTTCCCCAAAACCAATTAAATTAAAGAAAACCAAATGCATAAAAAATAAAGCAAAACTATCTTTGAAACTGATACTGCACCATCCTTTAACATCTAAGATAATGTTGAAATAGAATTCAGGATACTAGTAATGAGTAGGTGGGAGAAGACATCAAGAAAAGGAATGTCATGGTACCTTATAAAAAATTTGCAAATTTCCTCTTGGCTAGAAGTGGCTATACTTTAACAGAACAGACTTGACTTTTTTGACAGTGGCATGAACAGTGATTTCGGATGGCCTTAGGTACCCACACAACACTCGTGTGTCAGTGATATGGTTTGGATGTTTGGCCCCTCCAAATATCATGTTGAAATCTGGATGTGGGGCCCAGTGGGAGGTGTTTGGGTCATGGGGCCAGATCCCTCATGAATGGCTCGGTGCCCTCCCTGTGATAATCAGTGAATTCTTGCTTTAGTAGTTCACGGGAGAGCTGGTTGCTTAAAAGAGCCTGACAACCCCTCCTCCCTCTCTTGCTCCTCTCTCACCCTGCGACAGGCCTGCTTCCCCTTCACCTTCCACCTTGATTGGAAGGAAGCTCCCTGAAGCCCTCACCAGAAGCAGATGTTGGCCCCATACTTCTTGCACAGTCTGCAGAACTGTGAGCCAAATAAACCTCTTTTCTTTATAAATGACCCAGCCTCAGGTATTCCTTTATAGCAATGCAAAATAGACTAACACAATTCAGTATGTGCCACAACTGAACAAAGGTTCTAATTAAACTTTTAAAAGGTTCTCTGCCTATCCTTAAATATGGGAAAAGGAGGAATAAACTGTATTTGAGAGAATTTCTTAAAGTCTTTATATTCCAGTTTGATGCTCACTTACCATCCTCTAAAAACCCAAAGACTTGTTTCCATGTGACCCTCACCTAAACCTGAAGGCAGTTCTTCCAGTTGTGGAAGCCCAGGGTATCTGAACACCACTCTGTTACTGAGCACAACAGACCACGCTTAAAAGTGGACTCTCTATTCAAAGGAAAATCCCTCCCACCAGCCAAATGAAAGGTTTCCTTAGCCTCAAATATGTCTTTACAATATTTTTTCCACATATCACCAAACCTTTCACTTAGAGGGAAGTAATTGTTTTACCAGAAAATATGATTTATCTCTACATGCTGAAGTTGAAACACTGAAAAAAGACCAATAGACACCAAGAGATGCAGACAGAGCCAGCACTGTTATATCAGGGGAACAAAAACAATCTTGAAAGATGCTCAGATAATACACAAAAGAGAAGACATAAAACAGACTTAAATTCTATGGCCACATCTGGAGATACGGGGGAGAAATGTAAAGCTCTTTTCCCCTTAGAAATGTATTAGAGCTTCATGAATGAAAAGTCCCTGCGAAAACTAGAATTCTGCATCCCAATAGGTGGCTTCTGGGACTCAGATTCCCACAGGCTTCTGGAACTCAGCACATAACAGATTCACTCAGGTGCAGGTTGCTCAGGTTTCTGGGTGCTGTGAGCTATTCCCCAGACCTCTGGGTTCAGACCTACTTCAAAGAGTCCAGGGGAGAGATAGGGCAGCAGCAGGTAACATTCCCCAGAGAGGGGAACAAGCAGGACATTCTAGGCCCCTGGAATCCAGACTTGCCCTCCTTTGCCACCTTGGCCGTAGTGTCTGCAGACACCCCAACCCAAAGCTAGTAAGTCATCTTCTAAGCAGGACTACATGGTACCAAGTGGCCCTAGTTTAGATTGAGGCCTGGTGAGTTTTTTAAACTTATTTTAATTTTTTCCTACACCTTACTGCACAGCATACAGTGAGTTCCAATTGAAAGAATAACCCCAGTGGAGCCTTAGACAGGCTGGTGTGAGGCAGGGCAAATGCTATTACTCCCAACTTTCAGTTGATTAAACTGAGGTTCAGACAAGCGCTTGCTCAAGATTTCAAACATGGCCAGATGACAAAACAGCTTGGGTTCCACCCAGGCCCCTGC